CTATATATGTTTCGATTTAGCTCTCATACATATTTTCATTCGATTTAATGTAAATGGTACACCAAAGTCCCTACATATTTTTCGATTTGCACGAAATTTCGCATAGCGTACTGAATTGAGAAAAGAATGATGTGTGATATTCGCAAAATATACATGGATAGGAAGATAAACTCTAGTACTTCCTAGAAACCGCATGCGCATCAAATGATTTTTAGAATTACGCGATTTAGACGCAATTTAAAATGTATATTTCATAATATAGTTTTATTTTAAGATTTATTCCCAGTTATAGAATCCCAAGATATATCGGAAGGGTCTTGCTGTAATCCGCAGGGTGTATACTTATACACAAAAAGTGATTATTTTTAAATATGTCAATTTTGCGGCGAAAATATATATTTATTATTTTTCTCATATTTCGCGAAGATGTGCAACTTTTTCGTGATTATTATAATACATTCACATTCTTATTTTACGAAGGAAGATATATATCAACTTTTTTGGTCAATACAATAAACCGCGTAATTTTAAGTTTTTTTTCTTATGCCCAAAAATAAAACCTTGATAACTTTTGCGAGCATCAACCAAAAATTTGATCGCGAACGGTTTCGGAGTCAGAACATTCTTCTCTATATTTGTACCAAAAATCATTGGTGTACCACGAAAACAAAAAAACCGATCATTTGAAAGTGGAATATTAAAAAATTGAATGAATTCGAATATCATGAATATTTTCTCAATTTCACTTTTATTGTGATTTTTGAAGACCAAAACCACACACATCGACATCCATACACAACATCATAACTAATGTGATACTCATGCTTTTGTATTAATCTTAATGTCTGATAATAATCTCTGTTTTCTGATTGGGTACTTAACTGTTTAATAAAGTTTCATATACGAATTAATAATTATTTACTGGCGACTTCTGCCTTGTCATTTCAACGTTTTCCGTAATATGCATTCGTCTATTATACCCGTACCACTCCCAGTACGACGGCATCTATTGTACGTGCGACAGACTAACCGCCATATAAAAACAATTAATTCCTATAGCTGAGCACAGGGGTGTAAAAAGTCGTTCCACATCACTGTTGGTGAAAAGTTGGTTTCCTTTAAAAATTCCTTTGGCTTTAAAATTCTTCTTTTACATAAAGTCGTTGTGCTGTTCTTATCGTGAAATGGCATTTTTCATTTTACTATGTTCAGCTTTCGCTTTACTAGCTGACTTATTCATTGTTTCTGTAGAAATGGGATATAATATTGATAATTCCACCAGAGATTGCTAACGGTGACTACTAAATTCACAACAAAGGGATGTCATGGCATTTGTTTCATTATTATCGCAGCGTTTGTATAGTTGTAGTCTGTAAACCCTCTAACTTCCACAGCGGATTAGAAGAAATTAATTTGTATAAAAATATACGAGGTTCGGGTAGGAGATACCAAACAGTAGAGATTTCATTGCTTGTGGCATTAAACTCTTTATGCTGGCAGAACCTATCTACCCACTTAGATCAATGTTTGTTGTATTTTTTTCTGTTCGAATGAATTTTGGTTGGCTTTTGGCTACCATTGAGGTAATAAATATAACCACTTTTACGAAAAGATGTCAATGATTTTCAAAACACATCTGCAATTGATGATGCTTTCTTTGAAATGGTGACTAACACACAAACACTTGCTAAGCACCAAATATGGAAATGTTTTTCCAGAAAGTGGCCATAGTGATATGGTTTGGTATGCGAGGGGATTACTTCTTCAACCTTGTTCACCTTTGGGATAACATAGCAGATTCTACTCCATAGGACTTTCGGAAACAGGTTTTCTCATTACGGCCGGCCCATCTGAACCATTTGTAAAATGTGATTTTTAAAATATAATCCATATTCCTGCAATTTTTTATAAAGCAGGCCATTTATGAAATGAGCATATTCCACTTATACACATTTTTTAATCTCTTCTTTATGAAATACTGGTTCACTCGTCCACCATGAGAGTAAACAGAACATTTTTAGAAATTTTCATTTGAATTTCATTAATTTTTTTTATTGTTTGATACTATTATAGCGTTTTTTCATACCGCGTTAACGCACGCAACGAACGACTTGTTATCGTCCCCTTGTGGTTGTTGTATTATGGATAACAAATAGTACGAGGGACTCATTATGCTTAAGCCGTTAGTAGCGTTGAAATTTTGAATTTTGTATATACAGTTGTGGTCAAAACATAGACAACTGAAATTGACTATGTGAAAATACGTTGTCATATCTTTATTTGAAGTTAAAAAAATAAGTAAACTTGGTATTTTTCCACGCTTTAGGTTCAATTGCAACTTTAACTGTAATTTTCCCAAAATTTTTTGGTATTTTGCTGTAAAATTTATTGATAAAGTGGATAACTCATATTTAGCTTGGCCAAAACATATGCAACTCTGACGAATTTAAAAATATACCTGATTACGAGAACCCCATCCTTCAAACAATGCGTTAATGTTACCTTGTCATCAACTGAAACGGTAAAAATTGACATGGGACCACTTAAGTTGGGAAATTATTATTCGCTATTGAATAATCGTTTTCATTTGAAAATTTGCCAACATAAGTGGTCCTTGCAAATTTTTTACCGCTTCAATTGATAAGAAGGTAATATAAGCGCATTTTTTGCAGGACGGGTTTCTCGTAATCTAGTATGTTTGTTTTTGAGATTGAGGGATTTTTTTTTTGAAAACATATCCTCCTTCTATCTCGATTATTTTCTTGAACCGTAAACTAAATACCACAAGTCGAGATTTCCTGACATCGAAATATTCTACAACGATGTCGCTTATAAGATTCTTGATGAGGTTCTCAAAGACAAGAAATCGTTATTTGTAGGTTTTCATCCTCCTTTGCCGGATCATTCCTCAGATAATTTTAGTGTTAGTAGATAACTCTAACAAATATCGTTATTTTGCATATTATTACATGCAGCATAAATCACATTAAAAAAAAGTGTATAATAAATATAAGGTTGGGGAAAAGGTGGCTTTTTGGGCAGGTGGCTGTACTGATAGATTTCTCGATTAAACAATTTCAGATTTATGCTGGTTGGAAGGGTGACTTTTCACAGTAAAAAATTATTTTGCTTTTTTTTCTTTTTTGTTTGGTGCAACTTTGCTTTCGTAGATTCCGTTGAGGAATTCTTGATGTTGAAGATGCACCTCGCACAGTTAGGTCGGTCGTCGAAAATGTCGATTAAATCAGAGAAATGATCGAGAAATTTCTTTAAAATGGCAACAAATCATACAACAAATATGCACCGTTATTTTGCCCAAATCGGACATTCAGAAGCGTGTTAAATAAAGTCCTATTGTTCATATAAAAATAATGGATTTCTTTTTCCCCAACCTAATATATTTTCCCTTACGAACAGATATAACTGATTACAACAACACTTTACATGTTATTCGAGGAATTTCAGTAAACTAAGCCCAGCCACTATTTCCAGTAATGCAACTGTACGTCAACTCCAGGAGAAATAAAAAAATAAATATTACTCGCACTAGAACAAAGGAATTTAATTAGTTGTCTCTTTACTTTGTTGACAAATTTATTACCAGTAATAAGGATATGAGTAAACATATAAACATTAATATTGTTTACTCTGCATACTTTACTTAACTAGCCAGGCTATGAATGCCTATCTGACTTGCATAGTTACACACATACATATGTATGTAAGCACATTTTGATGTTTATATTTTGTTAAATAAATAATATTCATTAATATCCATCCAACATAGATGTCAATATATTGCCATTAAATGAATTAATAAATTTAATAAATCATCCAAGTTCGGCCAGATAGGCTGTGTGCGTACCAATGTTAAAATTCATGTTACAGTATACTGGCATGTGTTAACATTTACAATAACAAATAAAAATAATATTTGTTATTGGTTGTTTATTAGAATAAAAAATTATGGCTCATAAGACTACGTAAATTACCACGAGATTTACGAAGTGAGCCAATTCGATTCATTTTAAATTTAAAAACTACATGTACTCAAAACTTTAATATTAATTTTAACCAGTAAGGAAAGTAGTAAAGTCGGACGGGGCCGACTACATCATATCCTTCACTACTTGTGGTAAATACAAGAGATGCTCATATGTAGAATATCCTGAAGAAATGACGAAATTAAACGTGTGGACTAAATAGATATTTGAACTAATTTAAAACAACATATACACATACAATTCTGAAATATTTGAAAAATTGCATGTTAATGGAACGGACTTGGGTTCTTTGGTGTACAATTTGTATGAAATCGAGCACAATTATGTTTGGGAGCTATATCTAAGGTTATTCTAGGTTTAATTTGGTTAAATCGGAGAAAAAATACATGGGAGCTATATCTAAATATGAACCGATTTTCTCGAAAAGTAAGACACACCATTCTAGACTCAATTCAGTACGCCATGCCAAATTTCGTGCATATTGAAAGATACATAGGGCCTTGGTGCACCATTTACAATAAATCGGACAAAAATGTATATGGGGGATATATCTAAATCTTGACCGATTTTTACGAAACTATACACACATCATTCTAGACCTAATTCAGTACACTTTGCCTGGTTCACCATTTACATTAAATCGGACGAAAATACATATGGATGCTATATATAAATCTGAACCGATTTTCACGAAACTTTCACACATCAGTCTAGGCTGAATTCAGTACGCTCTGCCTTTTATGGCAAGTCAATAACATAAAATTGCGATTGATTTATTTTTACCCACTATTGAGATAAAGTTTATAGCCTGCAAATAACGAGTAAAGTTTGCAAGTGACACTATTCCCTGGAAAGCAGTGCTATCCTGCCGTTAGTAAATGGTCGAAATAATATGATATAAAATGAATAGATTTCATCCACCAAGATATCAGTCATCGGATTCATTTTAAACCGTGAATATCCCTTCGGTTTTGCGATTAAAAATAACCAACTAAAATGGCTAATACAAATTGCTTCACTTATTTCCTAATGTGCCTTGCATTGTTCCTGTGCAAATTCTCAGCTGCTTTGCCAGCTCAGGAAAATGACCGCTATTTTGAAAAACAGGTGATTATTTTTCATTAATGTAATTGCAATTTACACTTCGTGTTCTATTATCTCCATAAACAGTTAAATCGAGAATTATTAAACAATTGGCTAACGTCGGCACGCAGTATTCAGGCCCTGAATAGTTATTATCCAGACAACACCTGGTCTGCTCCCATGCCGAAAAGAAACTCCGAATTAATAAATTCACTTCTAAGTCTACCCAAGGGTATGAATGATGCTGGAAAGTAAAGTCAATGAACAGTCCTCGTCCACAATTTGAATTCATTGGCAGTTCTGGTTGAATGTAAAACAAATGTTCATCAGGATGATTGCTACAAATGAAATATATGTTCGTATATAGTAACAAATTGCAATAATTAATCGGAATTTGTGTGTAAATGTAAATTAATAAAATTTCCCCCTAATTGAGACTTAAATTGCTGGCTGTAGACCCGAATTGTTTTGTAAAGCTAAAAAGAAAAACACAACAATTAAAACAACAAAGAAATGTTTAATGAAAATATTATTTATCATTTACGACCTTTACTTTTTTATGCAATTCTTTATACAATTAAATTTATACACTCGCAAAATTAAATACATATTTCCTGTGTTTATTGAGACCAGTTAGAATGGTGAATCCTCTATTGAGATTTAGTTGACATATATGCAGTGGATTTTACATTTTAAATCCACTGGATTAACTAATACAGTACAGTGTATGTCTATTTTTAATACTGTAACTGCCAGTTATGTGCAATTTTGGGTTCGTTCAGGAATTGTTGATGTTAAAGATGCACCTCGTACAGGTAGGCCGGTCGATTAAATTGGAGAAGTGATCGAAGTTTACCGCCATGTTAGCAGTCGTAACATCGACCATCAAAATGTTTTAAATCATTTACACAAAAAAATAAAATAAATAAATAATAATAGATTTCTTTTTCCCCAACTTAATATATCGAGTTACGGGAATAATATCTAAATAATAAAAATAAAATTTCTTTTAGGGATGAAAATTTTTGGCGAGTATATAAAGAATGTATATTTCACAGAAGTTTTTCAAATATATTCAATAGCAGCCGTTGTAGTAAATATCCGCTGGATTGGATTGTCTACTAATCTTACAAAATGACAAACAAAATATAATAATGAGTTCTGTATGCTGAATTATGAAATTTAGCTTTTAATTCTATCAACAATCATTATAGGCTACATCATAATCTAAATTAAGTGGTCGAAAAAATAGAGGAAGCACACACATACAAAAACAGAATTGTTAAGTCTGAACTACAGGGACTTGGGTCCCTGTCAGTACGCCCAATGCGTACTCGTGAGCAAAAAATAGAAGAGAAATAAAAACACGAGAGTTTCAGTAAAAGGGTTCGACCAATGCCGATATTTATTGATTGCTAACGATATTACCTTAAAACACAACGATATGCGTGGTGACTTACAATAAAGCCTAGGTGTTTTCAACAATATGTCTGTATATCCAGTCAGGTAACAACGAAAGTAATCCAATTATTACTACAATGTTTGTTTACACAAAGATGCCTAACGGTGGTGCAAACTCCAAATGTAAACAAAAGTCCATTGAAATCTGTCAGCCTCATACTATTACAAGGATGTAATAATGAGGAGTAGGCAGATTTCAACGGCTACGACCTTTCAAATTAAAGGCTAACTATTTAACAATATTAAATAGCGATTCTTGCTTAAACATTTGCCGCCTCCCTTCAAACATCCATGTGATTTAACAAATATAATAAATTATAAACTACGGCGTAGTGCATGGCGAGCAAAACCTTTTACATTTTTTCCAAATATGTTCTCATAATTCTTTTTTTTAATTTTTTCAAAAAACTAGCTTACATGCTAACGATCGAGCCATTAGGGGCCCCATGATTACACAGATCATGAAGGATCTGTTATACGAAAGGGCCATTAGGGACCCCGCGGTTGTATGTAAGGTATGAAAGGACCTGTGAAAGGAAAGGGCCATTACGGACCGCGCGAAACGATAGAGCCATTGGGGACTCCGCGGAACGAAAGGACCATTAGGGATCCCGCGATATGTGAGCCAATTGTGTGACGTTTGTTGAGGGCCGCCTTACAAGGATTTCGTACGATTTACGAAAACAATTATTTTATAGACAATTTCTCGAGCCTCAACACTAGTTTTACTCACCAGATGACATAGACGCCCAATGTCTGTCAATCGGGAGTTATTATTATAAATTAAAAAAACCCAATAAATTATTAATAGGCAACAATATGCTAAACATGCACCCAACACAATACAAAAGTCCAAACGACCGATTGTAGGGCATATAAATCAATAAATTTTAATTTGCAACAAGAATCACAATAAAACGAAAACAAATGTTTTAAATTCAATAAATTAAATGTAAGCATCGATATGCTAAATAAGCACCCTACACTATACAAAACTCCAATTAACCGATTGTAGGGTGCGCTGGATTTTAAAATGTCAAAAATTATGTAAATATTTTCCCTGACAAAAATATTATATTTATTACCAATATTAATTAATTTAGGTGGACTGTATAAAATTCCAGATGTAGTCCGCTGGAATATCCGGTTCGATTGGACCAAATGTTAAGTCCGCACTATAGGGACTTAAGTGGATGGCAGGTATAGTGAAGTTGTGGTTCTCCATAGAGTCAGTACGCCCAATGCGTACTCGTGAGCAAAAAATAGAAGAGAAATAAAAACACGAGGGTTTCAGTTAAAGGGTTTGACCAATACCGATATTTATTAGTTGGTAACGAAATTACCTTAAAACAACGATATGTGTGGTGGCTTACAATAAAGCCTAGGTGTTTCCAACAATATGTCTGTGTAGCCAGTCAGATAACAACGAAAGTAATCCAAGTAAAGGTGGCGCAAACTCCAAATGCAAACAAAAGTCCGTTGAAATCTGTCAGCCTCATACTATTACAAGGATGTAATAATGAGGAGTAGACAGATTTCAACGGCTACGACCTTTCAAATTAAAGGCTAACTATTTAACGATATTAAATAGCGATTCTTGCTTAAACAGAATAGAAATTAGTAGTTATTGCAACGGCGTCTGTTTAGACAATCCACATGGAGACAGTTGTTCTCAAATGTTTTAATTATAATTATATAATAAATGTTTTATAAAAACACCGGATGAATTGTTTTGTGGATTTCTTCTATGAAATCCTTAAATGTTTTAAGCACCAAATTGTCGATGTTATAGTGAAGATCAGCCAGAAGCATTGCAAAAACTACCAATACATCCAGAATGAGTCACAGTTTGGTGCGGTTAATGGGCTGGTAGAATCATTGGACAGTACTTCTTCAAAGATGCTACAACTATTTTATGGATGAACCCTTTGAGGCTCAGTCCCGATCAACATGTACATGAATTAATCTTTAAACATTAAATTATATGGACCGTACTATCGATTCATTTATTCAACTTTTGTGTTTTTAACAGTCTTATATCAGAACGTCTGTATTGTCTGGAAAAGAAGTCGACAAAGATTAACAAAAAGTTTTTTGTGTACAAGATGATAGAACTCGAAGCTGTAAGAGATTAATATTAATTTTTGTTAAACAACTATTATTGCTAACGCATTGCAGTATTATACAAGTTCTATTACTGTATGACCTCTTACATTTTATTAAAAACATTTCATAATTTTTATTATACCAAATTACAACTGGGAGTTTTCTACTTAATTCTTCCACTCGAAAACATTCCAACACTTCGCATTCAAAACTACGAAAAAAATATATGTCGAAAGACATGTCAACAAACGATTCGAAATTCCATTTGCATTTATGATTTGTGGCGAACTTCATTGGAAAATATTTAAGGATGTACAAAAACCATATACACTTTGTGTTATGAATTTTTTTTCTAAAAAATTATTAATTTCAATTAATTATAAAAAAATCACAGTAAATCCACATTGAAATAATATTTCTGTGGGAAAAATTAATTTAAATTTTTTTAATCATATAAACTCAAACCGGAAAGATGTGTGTTTGTGTGTATAATTTTCAGAAAAGTCACATAACTTATGAACAAAATGACACATTAGTTTTATATTGAATCTATGACATTTCTTTGTAAGGAACGCTGAAACATTTCATTAATTTTACAACTAAACATTTTTACAATTAAAGACATTTCATGATATCTAATCTTAGGTAAAAATAAATCTAAGATCAAAATATGATACAGTGATATGAGATTGAAAAAAAAATATATATAAACCAGGGATGCAAAAGTTGGTACAATTGTACTAATTTTTGTACTATTTGGAAGTCAAAAATACAGTAGCACCCCAATGACATATTTAGCACTATTTCTAAATTGTATCAAATTATTCTCACTTAAAGGCATTATAAGTTCTTAAACATACAATATGGAATGAAACGTCACATCCTCCGTTGTCGTTACGAATGGATGAATTTGCGCTTCAAAATTCAGTATTCCCGATCAGATTGATAAATTCAGTGAAGATATTAATATTAATTAATTATTATTTCTGTAACTGTTCTATGAGAGAGATGATTTTTTCAATGTTTCAGGAATAATTCGGTACAAATATTCATGTTGTTTTTAAATACTCAACAACTCGATGGCTTTCACGTCAAGAAGTTGTTAAACTAATTTTGGCGCAGTGGGAATCACCTTAATATTATTTTACACCAAATGATTTCGAAGCTGATTCCCAAACGTTAAGGCTCTATTCTATTATTTCAGAATTTTCAAACCCTTTTTATATCCTCCACCATAGTGTGGAGCGTATATTAATTTTGTCATTCCATTTGTAACTCATCGAAATTTTCAATAAGTATTAATCAGGGAAAAATTCTAAGACGATCTAGCCATGTCCGTCCGTCCGTCTGTTGTAATCACGCTATTTTCTGAAGGAATTGAGATAGATCGCCAAAATTTTGCATAGAGTATGCAGGCAGATGGGCTATAACGGTCCACGTTTAGGCATAGCCCCCAAGGGTACAGCCCAATTTTAGATATTTTGGGGTTCTTGAGCGCGCTATTCAACCCAAATTTTGAAATTTGGTACACTGGGTTCTTTTTGGGTACCAAGTGTCGCCACTAAAAGTTATAAATATCGGTCTACTTTTTCGGGTAGCCCTTATATAAGGGCATCCCCAACTTCGGTATTTTGGGATGTTTGAGCGCGTTTTTCAACGTATGCGCTGAAATTTGGTACATTGGGTTC